AAATCCACAAAACTGAGTTTGGTAGGGGGGAGAATTTTCATTGCTTGGTAGTTACCCTAGAAGATTGGATCTGTAAATTTACATAAATCTCTGAAACAGGCGTGTATGTGAGTGCCAAATATCTGGACAAACCAAGAAAAACTTGCTTTTCTGCATGACTGTGGTGAAAGCATTGGTTCCCAACAACTTTCACATTTATAAGGATTCTTTAAAGGGACTAACTACACATTGGGCAAGTAGCTGTGTAGTCCAGAGTATTGGCTGGATTTAACATACTGAGGGCATGTGGATTCCTAAGAATGTCGCACCTTGTCTATGCCAATAAATCAGAGTGTCTATTCTTGATACTAAATCTGATATCATTAGCAGATTTTCTCCTTTATTGGAAGGGTAATATTCAGAAGGGAGAATATTTTTTCATGTATTTTGCTCTTTCTGTGATTGGGGTGTTTTTATGTTTTTTTTTTTTTTGTTATTGTTGTTGTTGTTTTAAGCTATGAAATAATACTGGCAAGTCCCAAGAAAACTAGATCTGGATTTCATTTTGTTTCTTCAACTCTGTGTGATCTTGTGCACATTCCTGACATGTTACAAACAGCTTGTGTCTCTGAATGTGCAATATCAATTTTCAGTGGTGAAAGCCCCAAAAGGAAACAGACTGATTCTTCCATGCACAAACAGCTGGGCAGTTGTGGATGGAATTAATTGCTGATATATATTGGCTGTGTTTTTCTTCTCTTCTCATTTCCTTTGCAGCTGTGAAAGTGAAGTTTGACTTGAAAACACATTTTGCCAGTGTAAATCCAAGAAGTATCAAGACAGGATTCTTCTAATATAATAACCAACTGGTAACTTTGAGTTGTTAGTTTAAGGGGGGAAATGAAGAAGAGCCAAGAGATGGAAGCAGGTGATTCATAATTACATTAAAGCTTGAAAAATAAATCGGGCAGTTGGATTATGAGAGGAGTATGTTGGAATGGTTAATTTAACAAGTGGTAAGAGTGACCTCATAATCCAAAAAAGGCAGGATCAATCAGCAGCCCTTCACTAGGGTTCTGAGAGAGGACATTCTAGGCTATCTCTCAAAATACTGAGATGTTCAATACTCCAAACTAATTTATTGTTCCAATGTGAGAGAGTAGCTCTTGGCTAGAGTAATGTGACAATATGCATCATTAAAAATAATATTTTCCTGGTCTTCTCTCAAAGTCTTTTCCATTGTTCATTTTAAATTCTATATAAACAATTATATGGTTTTTTTATATGCTTATTTTCTCAAACAATTTTATGATTATAGGAATTCAATTAAAAATAACTCTTGGTTGTGTGTCTGAATATGCATATACAGAAAATAGTATTGGTTAAAATCGCTTTAATTATCAGATGTTTGGTAATAGCTTCAAAACTGATAAATTATTTTAGATCTTGTTAAATATATACAGTATTTATAAATCCTATGGAAAACTTTTTAAAATAAAATTCCTACACAATTATTGAAAAAGTGGATGATTACAAAATTTTTAAAAGTTATGGTGTGCATAATAAATAATTTTCCCTTTAAGTGTACATTTCAATGTTCCATCAAAGCAAGTCCATAAATGACATCTGATTTTGAAAGGAACTATTGCTAGCTGATAATAAAATATTTTTATTGTTTGTGCATTGCTAAGAGAACTACAGCACTGGTGAGAAGAGAAAGTAGGTAATTTGTGTTCATATTCAGGACCCCTGGAAACAGGCTGAAGTAATGTTTTAGAATGAGCAATGCTTCTGACACCTTGAGATATGTAAAAGCTGCTGTTGCTAAACTTAGAAGTTGGCATGGTTGGACTTCCTTTATAGTACTCCACTTCCATCTAACACTCTATTGGTTGAACTGTGATCTGTCTTGCATTTTATCTTGACTTTCTTCACAAACAAGAAATGAGATATATTTTACTTCAAGGCAGGAAAGCTGATCTACAAACATGAACTCCCCCCCTCCACAAACACTTTTTTAGGAGGATTAACCAATTAATTGTGACTCTGAGGCTCTGAAAACTGTGTGGCAATATTAATGTGCAGTTTGTTCTCACTGAAGTCTGCCTGGGTGTGTTGTTTCCCCCAGAGTGAGCTCCACCCTTGTTCTAACCACATTGAGTGTGGATATCTTGCTCTTTAAAACAAAGTTCACTTTTGGGGCAGCATTGCATCAGAATTGCCACACAAAAATCAGCTTAAGAAATGTACAGCACTTCAATTTTTTTGTAAGTAATGGATTGTCTATTGTAATACTGATAGCTCACAGCTTAAGGGGAAACACAGATAAGATAGATGGTTAGTTTTGTGCCTGCTGCTAGTAACATGCAATATTCTTCTTTGGGAGGAGCCTGTGGCTTTATCACTCAACCAGGGTTTTTTTTTTTCTTTTAGTTCACTTGTCTGCTTTTATTATTTTTTTCCCTTTCTTAAACAGTTTACTGAATTGTTTTTTAACTATTTGGGGAATGACATTGATGGTTCAAATGAAGGAAAATACTAGTATTCTCCCAAATGTGCTAGTTATTTAACTTAAAAATGCTTGAAGGTAGTGTTTTATACTGAATTTATTGGACCCATTAATAGCTTAATCTGGCAATACTGTGTTTCGAGACATCGTGACATGAACTTTGTGTGTAAGAGTGGGTACATTGAATTAAACAGGCAGCATCTAAAGAGCCTTTTATTTCTGTCATAATGATGCTTTGTCCTGTTGCTGTTGGGTATTTGTCAGAAGAGTTGGGGCAGGCTGCAGCCCAAAGTTCTGTTCCATGCCTCATCAGTTCCGTGCCTCTGTGTTCTCTCTAGAGTTTGTGACGTGAATGGTGAGTTGAACTATAGGAGAATTATTGTTGTTCATTGAGGTCCATGTTCAGCAATTTTTTTCTTTGCAACGGGGGTCTGTCTGACCTCTTTTCCCTCACATAATGAGTTTCTATTTGTACCTGAGTTTTAAATGCCTGTGGAGTGTTTAATTATGCACTGACTGAAGTGGGCATGTGGAGAGAGGCTGTGCTTTGTGTTGTCTATACTCTTTGGGGTGTGGTCGTGTGTACTCTTTGGGTAGACACTCATTTGGTACAAGCAAGTTGAACAACTGCCTCCGTTGAAATCAAAGCTGAATGTTGAAAATGGCTAATTTCTGTAAAGCTTGCAAGGGTGACATTATGTCATCCCTTTTGGACTAAGACTTCTTGGCATCTCCTTGCTTCAGCTTCCTCTTTTTTACTTGCTAGTAATTGGATTTAGCTGTCTTCTAGCTTCACAAGGATGTAAGAATAAAGCACAGGTATGGTATCATAGCAAAAAGTACTAGCCTGGGAATCAAGAGACTGTTTTTATCTCTTTGGGCATTAGTTTCTTCACCTATACAATTAGGAATTTGAGTTAGCTTCCTCTAAGGTCTTTTCCAGCTTTGAGCATCCTAATTTTCTTTGTAAAGACACATGATTATTCCACAAGTGCTAAAGGGAATATACTAGAATTGAGAAAAAAAATGTTTGGATGTTACCTCAATCATTCTTTAAATGACATGAAAACTACAGCTTTACTTTAAATAAGTTGTGTCTGTCAGGAATTTTGAAATTTACTTTTTAATGTCTGAATAGTAGAACTAGCTATATAAATCATATCATCACCAAGAAAATACATTTGCAAGTTGAAATTAGGCCAACCTCCTGCCACAAGTGTTTACGTAGACCTTTCGTTGAACATTGGCTACTCAGTGTACAACTATTAGTTGTGTAGCCTTGGGTAAGCGGCTTTCAAACTTTTTTCAATATATTTTGCATCATAACCCAATCATGATACACACATGCACCACTTTAAATCTCTGAAATAAACTTCTCTTACAACACAGAAAACACTGCTATTTTCTGTTCTGTTTCATTTCAAAAAATATTGGTTACAATGTACTGTCCCTTTGAACTCTGGAACAATACAGTTAAACTTCAACTTCTACAGTGGTGCTGGAGCAAAGCTTACCGATGAATTTGCTGTTAAATATTGGAATTAGAAGATTTTTAAATAGATTTTTATTTGGAACTTTAATAGAAAATCATAGTTAATATCTCCAGTAATACCCTTTTCCTGAGTGAGTACATAATACAAAGAAAAAGGAATATTTTTTACCAAGCCCTGTGCATCTGCCCCTCAGTCTCCTCCCATTTACTGTAGTCTGCTATACAAGCTTTGTCTTATTTATGGATATCCTGTTAGTGAGAACTAATACACATACCACGACATGAAAAGCATGGAGAAGGCTTTTCTAGAGAGCTAGATATAATGTGTCATGTAGATTAGATATAGACTGTCAAATTACCATTGATAAACCCCTTCTTTATCACCAGAGAGTTGTCTCCCAGGGCTCTGCAGAATTTCCTTTCTCTGCTTTAACATACTTTTAAAAGGTAATTTTACTAGAAAATGCATATGGCAAAGATGAAATAATTCAAAGGGACATATGACAAAATGTTTTTCCCACCCTAATCCCTCAGCTCCACTCCCCAGAGGGAAATTATTTTTCAAAAAAAATTTTGATGGGAAAGAGAGAGGCAGAGAGAGAGGAGTGTATACACTACCTGTGAGAACTACTGGAACATCTGAACATGTTTAATACATATAAAATTATACCACGCATACCATTATGTATCTACTTCATTTTTTTTTTTTTAGATGGAGTCTCACTCTGTCACCAGGTTGGAGTATAGTGGCATGATCTTGGCTCACTGCAACCTCCGTCTTCTGGGTTTAAGTGATTCTCTTGCCTCACCCTCCCGAGTATCTGGGATTACAGGCATGTGCCACCACCCCTGGCTAATTTTTGTAATTTTAGAAGAGATGAGGTTTCACCACGTTGGCCAGGTTGGTCTCAAACTCCTGACCTCAAGTGATTCACTCACTTCAGCCTCCCAAAGTGCTGGGATTACAGGCGTAAGCCACTGCACCCAGCCTACTTCATTCTTTTTAATGGCTTTATAGTACTTTATTGTGTGGATGGATGTCCTATAACTCAGTTATTCCTCTTTTGATGGATATTTGGATTCTTTCCAAGTTTGTCCCCATCCTCTTTCCATCAGACATGCTTATGCTATCAGTCTTCTCCTACTTCCATTTTGGGACAGAATCCAGAACTTGGGTCCTATAGGGAAGACATAATAGTGCCGTGTAGAAATGGAAAAATCCCTCATAGGCCACACTATCCCAGGCATTCATGGGTGGATAAGAACTGCCCCAGGAGGAAGTCATTTTTCAGCAGAATAGTGAAAGAATATTGGGTTCAAAGTTGGGTAACTTGGGTGTGGGATTGGGTGGGTCACCTGACCTCCTCAGTCCTCAGCTTTACCATCTATAAAATGAGAGGTTGAAATAGGTGAGTTTTAATGTCCCTTCCAACTTCAATATTTATGTGGTACTTTTGTTGGAATATTGATTTAAGCTGTATAACCCAAATTATATGAAGTTTCTCATATTTAAATTAAAAACATCTTTTGTATATATTGTGTGGTCTATAATATATTTGACCTGCCATATGGCCTAAGCTATTTTAAACTTTAAGAATGTAAAAAAAGGAAGCTGAATATCATTCTATATTTTACATAAACTATCCTTTTCTAAAAGATCAATTTCAGAAGTATAAAACCCATTCCAGAATTAAAACCAAATCCTGTTTATCAAGTTTGAATACTTGAAGAATAGAAGATTGTGAGGTTATATTTGTTTTTAAAATGGATCCTTATAATTTTCAGTGAGTCCAATCATTCAGAAGTAATCCTAGGGCTTTGAAACTTGGCTTCAGATTTCTTGTTTAAACTGTTTGCACATTCTAGCCCTTTAATCCATCTCCTTGTTTCATTAAATGCTAAAACTGACATTGCTTAATATAACTAAAGTTTTCTGATTTGATGCTGAGGAAGCTGCCTTAGAGGTGAACTATATCCTGCCGGCAAAGTTACAAAGTTACACGGCCAAGTTATAAAGTAACAAAAGCAGTCATTTTTGCTGCATCACACATAGGATGTTTTGCATTGCTAAGCATTGCCTGTTTGACAATTTTAGTCTCATAATTCAATCAAATGACAGCTGTTTGAAAGACAAAATGATATAAGAACTGCACTTGATTTGTGTAATTACAACTGGAAGATAAAGACATTTTTTTGGCCAGAAGGTAGGAGAGTTTGCATGTTTGTGTGGTGGTTACCTTAGCTTCTTGGTAGAAGGCTTATTATACCTTAAATATACTTTTCTATAATCTGTGATATTATTTATTATTCAAGTAATGCTGGATAATTATTAGTATTCCTTGTTAATTTTCATATACATTTTTTGACTTACAGTTCCACTTAGTAAAATGTATCAAAGGCCTCCTAACAGCCAAGCACTGCATTAATGCTTGGGAGTACCTAGGTAACTGAGACAGTCTTGCTTAGAATCTACTAAAATGACAACTGCTCCTGTTTCTTCCTTTGTTGGAGTTTTCTAATATCCACTGGTGATTGGAACTTGGCAAAAAAGTTATTTAAATTCAAATCAATGAAAACAAAGTATGTTTTCAGTGTTTAAAAAGGAGGTCTTAATGTCTTATTAGTACAGTGACTTATTTTGGAGGCACACTCTTCTGTATGAGGGTCTGCTGGTGACATCAGTTTCTCACTAATTGAACTCTAAATGAAATAAGTAATGCTATGGTGCTTGGACTAATTAATTGAGCCTGAATTTTTGTCTACTAAAACATATCTGATGTATGAAAATCTGTTGCAATTACTGTGCTTCATGTATTATGATTTTTTAAAAATGGCTTATATGAAACCATGCTTGAAAATGGTCACACGCTGTTTTGAAGATACATCCTGATAGTTTTGTCAAATTACCCCATCCATTGTGGCATGTATAACTAAGGAAATGCTTCATAGTTAGAAATATACAGGATGCTGCTGTCTACAGGATGTTGAACAAACTTTGTCTAAAGCATTTGAAGCCATTTTAGGAAAACAGTCCTATGGTTGCAAAATCAGTCAAATAGATTGTAGTTTGAGCTGAAACAGACATTTTAAATGAGAGAGGGGGAAGTCTCATTATCGTGGTCTGTTATGCAGTCCCAGAAGGGACTGGTATTTCTCCTTTGGACCCCAGCATTTGGCTAGGGTCCTGTGACACACAGTGGGAATTCACTTCCTATCAGGAAATGATGTTTTTCAATGTATTATCTTGTTGAGACAACCACAGTGAACAATAGGCTATTAATGTTTTAGAACAACAAGTGTCATGACTAAGCCAATATTTGCTTTGTTTTGAGTATCATTCTAAAAAAAAAAAAAAAAAAAAGAGCTTTGGCTGAGCTTCAGAATGCATTTGCCCATCATCATGACAGTTAAAAAGATCAGGAAAAAAAAATGCTTTAATAGTGGTGATGACCTTTTGCAGGCTTACTCTACACACTTCTGTCCTTAGACAAGAATGAATTATTTTAAACATACATTTTGAGCATGAAAAATGTTCATTTAAAGGCCTATTTTGGGCCGGGTGCAGTGGCTCACACCTGTAATCCCAGCACTTTGAGAGGCTAAGGCGGGCAGATCACGAGGTCAAGAGATCGAGACCACCCTGGCCAACATGGTGAAACCCTGTCTCTACTAAAAATACAAAAATTAACCGGGAGTGGTGGCACACGCCTGTAGTCCCAGCTAGTCAGGAGGCTGAGGCCGAAGGATCACTTGAACCTGGGAGGTGGAGGTTGCAGTGAGCCAAGACTGCGCCACTGCGCCCTGGTGATGGAGCAAGACTCCGTCTCAGGGGGAAAAAAAAAAGGCCTATTTTGAGTTTTGGAAGCCACAAATTCAGGTTCTCCTATAAAACATTAAACTGTCTTATGAGTTAGCTTATTCAGTTTACTTCTTTCCACAATTATTAATAAACTGAAAAGTCCTTAAAGGCAGGAATCAGAGCTGTGCCTTCTATAGTCTTTATAACCTTTTCCTAACACCTGAATTAGCATTTGCTGATTGACTGGATCAGTAGTTTCTTCGGTGTTTGAAGATAACATTTTTATAGCATTATTTGTACCTGGTCTCAAAACAAAATGTGGCGATAAGTATAGATTTTTGGAAATGACTCTTTTTAATGTATGTATATACTTATTTATTTTAAATACTTCCAGATACTGATAATGCCCTTCTCATACCTTCCCACTTTTTTTTGTGTAATTACTTTTCAGTCAGCTTAAGACATTTCATATGCAGGTCACAATATTCATTACCTCAGCCATCTTGGATATTTGGCCGGTCTTATCAAAGCACGAATAGCCCAGCTTTCAAAGTTTGCTCTAGATTCCCTGTCCTGGTTTATTCTAACACAAGTAGAGAATGGGGGTATTATGAGTCAAGAGCCTTACTCACCTCACTGAGTTAATAAACCCTTATTGAGTAACTCTAAGTGGACAGTAAAGAAAGGAAAAAGTGTTGACCCAGTTGGAGCCCAAAGACATACTCAAATAATTAAAAGGCAATACAGACTATGACAGAGTGCTTTGAACACTAAGGTTGTGGGGAGGGCTAAGATGGAGGAGCTTAGGGAAGTCACTGTGGAAGGAGTTGGCTTTTGAACAAGACTTCAAAGTATAGACAAATATTGGATGGAGATAAGAGGGGAAAACAGTCCAAATGTATAAGAAACATGGTGAGCAAAGCAACAATCAGGGAGATGGCTTTTGTTAGAAAGAGTCATTTCCCTCTAAACCTAATAGGGATAGACTTTGAAGTCTTTCCTATCCTTTTTTCAGGGTCTGAATTTTAGAAGCCCCCGGCTGATTGCTAAGTATTTTTTAAAGATGGGACTTCCTGGATGCTTTTTTATTTCCCTGGGGGAGGGACTGAGGAAATGTTGTTTTTGGAAAACTATAGTAGTTGGCTTTGTACTTCTTTGTTGCAACCAAGGATCCCAGGGTTGTAGTACTCTGACTACCTTTTAAAAGTTCAAAATAACACTTTCTAGCACTTTACAACTTGACAGAACCTTTCCTAGACAATAGAGATCAAAAGTAGACACAAAATACTTACCAAACTCTGGAGAGCTACTTAAGTTACTAAGCTCCTCATAGATAGCTTTTTATTTGACAACAAAGTACTTGATGTAGGCTTTAAGTCCAGCTAAATAGACGCTACAGAACTAAGTTATGAGTCTAGTCTTTGTGAGGCTCGGAAAAACAAGAATCCTGCTTCAAGCGGAATTTGAAATATAGCAAGCAATTTCAGTGGACCTTTTAGACATGTGTGAGTGGGCACAAAAAGCTGAGTCATGAATTTTACTTTTCCTAGTATACCATGGAAGCTTGAAAGAAAAGCATTCTCATTATTTTAAAATAGCAAAAATTGTTTTAGATTCTTATGGAAATAACACCAACAAAATGTTTTATGTATTAATTATGAACACATACCTAAAAACCTCTTAAAATCAAGAAATTGTAACATGAGGCATTGCCTGGCTTTTTAAAAAGAAAAGTTAACAGTTTATTTAATGTACAGTAGCACCTGAAATGTGTTTTCTTACCAGCATCTTTAGTTAAATAAATTTCTAAGTGCAGTTTATATTTTAAATTTTTCTTATATCTACAGATCATATGGTCTACAGTCTTATGTATCTCATTCTAATCTAGATAATAGGAAAAGTATTAGATAAGATAAATTGAGGGACTTGGACACATCACTCTCTCTCTTAGGACTTGTTCTGTCTTTTTCCATATGAGAAATGAGGCAGGATAATCTTATATCCTTTTAAGCTCTAACACCTTTAAATTCTAAGGATACTATTCCCCTTTTGGCTCTCATTAGATAATAACAGGGAAAACAACTCCTCTTCTTGAAAGAGTTATTTTATTTACAAAGCAATGTTTTGTTCTCTGCTACCCTTACAAAAGTATGAAAGTTATTTGTTATTGTAAAATCTGCATTTCTGTGGTATTTGATAAACTCTCCTCCATAAATTAGTGAATTAGTTTAATGTTTTCTCTTTTTCCTGAATTTGATATTGGACTTTTTAGGTCTTTTTCCAGAGTTTCTCACTTTTTTTTGAGAGTTTGGTTTCCAGCTGTGGACTGGAGACTTGGGTTGTCTCTTTATCTTACTATTTCCAGTTTTTTTATGTTAAAAATAATCTTAATGCCCCCCCTTTTTTGATACAAATTAATTTGGTGTCATAAAATATCATTGTATGCATGCATTTTCAGAATTCTTATTCATGTCAACTAGGCCTACTTTTCAAAGCTAAATCTTATTTTATCAGGACAGAGCCTAGAACTCTTCAAATGCGTCCACAAGCTTACATGGCAATTAATGTCCAACACAGTTTAGATGAAATAATGGGGCATATGTAACCTGGATATCAGGATCTAGACAGGCCCTTCCTTTTTCTAAAGCTCATAATTATAGTTTAGATTACACTTAATTAGAATATTTAATTTGGTGAATACCCAGAGAATTTTATTTACTATTGATTTAATAAGCAAAATCCTGAGTGCCAGATCTTAGGCTTATTGTTTATGCATTTATGTTCACATAAACTTCATCTTAAGAAAATTCAATCTATGAAAATACACATTTTGTTAAAGTGTTTGCATTAGAGGTGAGAACTTAGATTTGAGGCTTGGGTTGGGGAGGAGTTAAAAATATCTAGCTAAATGATCTTAACAGGTGTTAGTTTGAAATGACTCATATTTTGAAAACATCCTTGGGAGTGAGGGGAGTAGAGTTGCAGTAGAGTGTGCTGGTTAATAACGCAGGTTCTGGAACTAGTCTGCTTGAATTTATATTCTCAACTCCACAACACAATTCTTATATGACCTTGGACAAGTAACTTCTCTGTGCTTTCAGCCTTGCCTGTAAAATGGAGATGATATTAACATCTACCTCTCATAGGGTGAAATGAGTTAAAACATGCTACTTTTTAAAGCTATCAGACAATAGTAGGAGTTCAAGAAATATGGGATATTATACTGATTATTTCCCTTCTTTCCACATAAAAATGTATTTATTCCAATGTAATTTAATGAAAAAACACATTAAAATACTAAAAGGAAGCTGGGTGTGGTGGCTCACACCTGTAATCCCAGCACTTTGGGAGGCCAAGGCAGGTGGATCACCTGAGGTCAGGAGTTCGAAACCAGCTTGACCAACA